CCGTAGCGAGGCATTCGTTCATTCGCCGTTGAATACGAACCTGATGTACAATATATACATCGATTCCGGAACCAAACATCGGAGTTCAGATATTTGAAGGGGAGGAAGGGAATATAACAGCTCCGACATTTACGGCAAATTATCCACGAGACGATCGCAAAAGGCCCACAAAAAACCCGCGAAAATTATGAGCAGCTTGCGTTTGGTTCCTTTTGAAAAATGTCCCTTGAATTACGCGCGTGTTTTCCGCCCCACTATCATTCGCCAGATGACAAAGACCGGCTTTTTGGGCACGAATTTCCGGTCTCGCGGGCTCGACGATGATATTTAAGATAGTTACCTTTAACGACGCTTGATTCCATATGGAAAGCCACAGCGGTCGTTGGCAGCTGCAAGTGTTTTATCTATGGCGCGAGAAGTCCACCGTGACGACGCCGGTAACAAAGGTAAAAAGGCGATCCTTTTACGATGGGCGTAACCTTCGATTTCTCACGAGCCAGTGCGTGACGAATTGTGAACGATGTACTAGTCGAACGACTTGATCGTTCCTATCTGCGATTTCCTGTCTACCATATGTAGTGTGCACACTAAATATATAAAGTGGATAAGTATACAAAATTTTTATATTTCAAAGAAACTTGAATTTCTTATTTAAATTGTTACAGTGAAGAAGAAATTATATTCTGACACGAAGAGCTATAAGAATATTCTTCGATGCAAAAATAATTTTTTATTATTTACGTTATTTAAAATAGTATATATTTTTTGTGTTAAGTAGTAATTAAATTAATACCGACAGCTGATTTTTTAAAATTTTTAATAAATGTCGTAAAGGTTCTATTATCAATTATAACAGAGAATTTACTTAGAGAATACTTAGAGAATTTTTATTCTCATAATAAATTTTATGGAACGTAGTATTGCTACAAAAATTGAAGTATGCAATTCAATTTACCCTTCAATATAATTTTCATGGAATCCATACGAAGATGGGAAGGATGGGAAGGATATTACGTTCCGATGTATGACATTTTCGAATTGACCTTTGCGATGCGTTCGTTAGGTAATTAGCTTATGAACTCTAGTAAAAGCGTAACAGATACTGCCCCTTTGCGCTGGTGAGCAAGCGAGGGAGCGACTCGATCGCCATTAAATTCAAAGCAATAATTGAGTTTGCCGCTCGTGTGCTGCTTCGTAGGAAATCTATACCCAGGACGCGGCAAGAAGTATACCGTCGTAGTGCATAAGCAGATATAATTAAAATGTTAATGGCGATACGTGCACTACTGGGAAAAGCGAGCAAGACACATCATTAATCTAAAAAGAAAGAGAATATAATCGCTCGAATATAATATCGAAATTTTAAGTCCTTCAGTCCCGCGACAAATCCGCAACTAAATCGAAATCAATGCCTGAACGAGACCTTCCCGAATAGCAAACTGACATTATTTGTTGTCATTTTGACATCAAAATGTCGGACAGAAAAGATTATTCTGCTGGAATATCTATAAAAATTGTCTAGACAAGATTTGGAAATAAAATTTTGTTAGACCATCAAAATAATTATGTATGATCTCAAACTGATTGAGAGAATGTCAAAATGTAATTTTGTGCAGCATTTTTTTGCTCATTATGCTTAAGTTTTCTATATAATTATTTTAACAATTCACCAAATTATTTTCAGTTCTGTATTTATCTAAATTTATAGATACTTCAGTAAAACAGTTCTTTCCGTGCTTCAAAGATGATCATTTTGGCTACAAAATAACGACAAATAACATCATCTTGCCTGGGAATGTCTCAATAAAAATGTTACTGTTCGAGGTGAAGTTAAAATTCTGGAAAAGAAGCAAACAGGCGGAGGCGTGGAGAATCAAAAAGTGATCAGAGATCGGGATGAAGACGAAAGGAAGGAGAAGAAAGATCGCACAAACGATTCCAGCCTCACGCGCGGTCTTCACGTGGCTACTTTCCCGCCGAAACGTAATTTAAAAGTTGGCAAGCGCATCGTGCCTTACGACCACCCTCTGCTGTTAATGAAACTTCCTCCGCGCGCTCACACTTTCAATTTTCCACCGCGTGGCCGTGCACACCCTCCGCGCCATGAAAATCAGTCTTCCATCCTTCCACAACTAGCGACAAACCACCGCCTACTTTTCCGTCGTTCTGCTTCCCTTCCTGGAGCTTTCCGGAAAGCACTTGCTTCTCCTCTTTCTCATTACCAGCGATACCAATGCGGTTCTCCTGGCAAACGAGCGTCACGACCATATTTTTTTTTTCTTATCATTGCCACGCGCGTTATCAGCTCTCATTTCATCAATATTGTTTTCCGCTCTCTATCCCTTTGCTGTTCTTACGTATCCTCCGACGTTGTTGATTCGATGTTCGATATGGTATCAGTATTATAAGCGGGTCGATTGGCTATGTTACTGTGAACGCGAAACTCATCTTCCTTCTTGCTTAACTCGCAAATCGATGGTAATACCGGCTTTAGCGTTAAAGAGGACCGTTCGAACCACGCGAACGTGGTCAAATTAATTCACGAATAGGGAATGCTAATTAAACATATTATACAGATCCTGGAATTTATGGAACATGTCCTCCAGGCGGTTACAATTGTACGCGATAAAAGAAGGCCGTAAATCAGTATTCAAATTGGGGATTCGGATTTTCGGATTTTCTTTAATCTTACCTATCTATTTTAAGAAGTCTTCTCTATATAAATGGAAGGATAGGTGTGTGTGTGTGTGTGTGTGTGTGTGTGTGTGTGTGTGTGTTTCATTTTCTTTCTATTCCTATCGCTATATATTTTCAATTTTGATCTAATATTTTTCTGGGAAAAGGTAATCGATTTTTAATAAGTAATCTTTTACAGAGAGATTGCTATTTTCATAGATCGAGGAATGCTGGTTTAATTTCTAAATTCCACACTTTCGATCACAGCGACGAATTAACAGCAGTCTCGAAATATTGCAATCACAGGAGACCAACTTGCCGGAGGGAGACGAACGCGAAAATCGAGCGCAACGACCGGAATACTTTGCGGTCGCTTTTTGCACCTCGGCCAGGAGGTTCTATCACGATATTCCGTCAAGGCGGCTTGACGGCGGCATATGTATGTATGTACCTACCTATAACGCCACGACGCGACGGAGTGCAAATAAGCGCAAAATGACTGGCGGCATCTGGCCATATTGGCGTAAAGTTGGAAAACGTCTGCCAATATACAAGAGCTCGACACCTATCCTCGTCACCTTTCGGAATTCATGGCCGCCGTTATTCGTGGCTCCTCTCCTTGCTGCGAAACTTCTCCGCGCGAGAAGAAGCCGGGTCGACGGATGCGGAAAGACAGGAAATGGCAGGGGAAAACTTTGGTGGGAGATGCGACCGATATAGTTTTTTTTTGGGGTACCTTGGGAATACACTGGGTCGCGTGAAAAACGACGTATCCGTTCGAACTAGATGGGAGAACGAGCACGTCGAATTTGAGATAGGTATCTAATAAAAAACGATGAAAAGTGGGGTAACCTTTAGGAAAGAGAATGCACACACACACACACGCGCGCGCGCGCGCACGCACGCACATAAATTTATATTGCATGATGAGATCAAGTAATAAGCTTGATAAAATCATATACTTACTTTTATATTGACGTAATAAAGTGTTTGTTTCTTCTTTCTTGAAACAGCTGTTTTGAGCAGGTCACTGAATATATCAGCTTAAATAAATAATATGAACTGTTTTTGTTTCAAATTATATTGATAAGATACAATAGAATACGCAGAATGCTCATGTTTTTTTATTTATTGAAATAAATCAAGAAAAATAAGACATCTTCTTAATGCTTTCATAACAAGAGAAGTTGTAGAAATTACTGGAAAATATATATAAAAAAATATGTGAAAATATATCAAGCAAAAATTATAAGAGGTCTATTTGCGTTGTTCAAAATTTCCAAAAAAATGTTTGCACCTGAAACGAAATAAATATATATTTGGACATTAAAAAGAGAAAGAAAAGATTATGAATACGAAAAGTGCAAGCAACATAACAGACCTAAGGCTCTAATTATTATTATATAGGCTTGTGTAACTTATTATTATTGTACTTGTTTTTATTATGGTGAGATTTATAAGCAAATGTTTTAGTATTTAATGCAAAAACTTTATAGAAATAAAGCTTATTTATAGAACATTTCTTAAAATAATAAATTTTTTAATACCTTAGTATTAATTATTAATGATTGCTTAATTTTTATTTGTTTTTGATCTATTGCATTGTACTGCGATACAATATGTATTGTATTTATAATAATAGATAATAATATAATTAGATACTCGAAGGCACTAAAAAATTTTGATACATTTTAATCATCATAACTGTTTCTGAATTCTATAACGCGAATAATATAAACGTGACTCGGGAGAAGCTTGGATTGAAACGAGCAACAAGTGCAACTGAATACAGTCGAGATATCGAGATGTCAATCATGCAAAGTGAGATGGAACGTGAAAAATGTCTGCGGCAACGAAATGTGGAAAGATTAACCGAGAATTGAAAATTGTACGGAGGCAAATAGAGAAAAAGACGATAAGCTCGCGAATGTGCGTCTATCATTTCCACTTAAGTTGACGGGGATATGCTGAAATATTTGATAAATCTTTTGTGTGCGTATGTGAATACATTTATGAATTTTTAAAAACTTTTCTCATTTTACATAATGAAATGTCGGAACTTGTCGACATTTTAGAACTAATAATTCATTTAAATTTACATTTTAATTATGACATATATTCTAATCAATTGAAATATCTCAATAATTTTTTTCAAAGAAATGCAAAATTTTTATGAAATGTCTTAGGCACTATCAAGCTTTCATTACTATGCAAATTTAAAGCCACATCGCCGCTCGAATAAAATTTTGCTCTCTTCAAATCGCTCGAAAAAAGTTCGTTGATAATCCACGATTTTCGAATAAATCCGCTAGCTGACGAAGGAACTTTCGCAGAAATATCCCATTTCGATAGACTGCACCGGAAGCAATTCGCCTAAATCTGCATTGAATTGCTCTTCGTCTACAGTATTGTTAAAAGACAAGGTGAGAAACTCGACCCAGTGGACAAACGAAAGGATTGATATTCTTTCATTGTGCGCGTGTGAGTTTGGAATAGTACGTTCATTGAATTTCGCTCATTCCAACGCGCACGAAGCAAATAGGACTGGTAGAAAGTAAATAATAATTGGATTATATAGAAAAGAAGTCACAGCGCGCACATCGAAGTATCCATTATGGTGTGAAATATTCACTCTTTTATGTCAAAGATATGCAGATAGATACGATGGGTCATTATATATGTATTCGGTGCGTCAAAGAAAATCATATCACCATAACATGACTAATAAATGAAGTTACACAATTACACGATATTTATTAAAATAACGCCGAAGCGAATTAATTTCTCTACATAGGATTTTCCAAATATAACAAACTAGCTCTTAATGGATTTTTTAACTAATTTATGGAATGGATTTTTTTTTTTGTAAAAATGAACGAAAAACGATGGTTTAATATCTCGTTTAAAGTATAGTTTTAAAATATTGATAGAGGTTACTACATAAATAGAAAATTTTCAAGAATCTTTGTTTTTGATTTTTTTAATCTTTATCTTGGTTTCGCGATATTCTAAATTTATAATAATAAGTATAAAATGATAATTTGAATAGCTCATTATTTAAAATAGAAATTATACTTTAAAATATTGATAGACATTACTACATAAATAGAAAATTTTCAGGATTTTTAAATTTTTGATTATTTTAACCTTTACTTTGGTTTCTTGATATTCTAAAATTGTGATAATAAATAAATGATAAAAATATCTTGAAATGATAGTTTGAATATCCCATTCTTTAAAGTAGCTGTAAAATATTGACAAAGATTACTACATAAATAGAAAATTTTCAAGATTATAAGTAAATTAATATCTTGTTTAAAGTAATTTTAAAATATTGATAGAAATTACTTCATAAATAAATAATTTTCAAGATTTTTATTTTCTATCTCTTTAATTTTCATCTTAGTTTCATGATATTCTAAAATTATATGATAATAAATAAATTGTAATGTTAAAATGATGGTTTGAATATCTCACTATTTAAAGTAGCTTTAAAATATTTACAGAGATTACTATATAAATAGGAAATTTTCAAGATTAATAAATTGCATTATAGAAGATATACTGAAATTATCCACATATACAGTAACGTTACTGTATTAATAATATAATAAAACTGCGAGATTAAGAATTATATGACTAGAATTTAAAAATATTCTCATTGTCTTTTATCGAAAACTATGCCACGCGAACGATTGAAGACGTTCGTTCAATTTATACGAACGAGAATTTCCTGTTCTTTTAAGTGTTATAATTCTTGGCCTGGTTGATTAAAATCGCAATATTTCTCCTTGGTAGCGTTACAAACGCCTCGTTAAAAAGCAGACCGCCACCGAAAGTTTCGCGAGCACATAAACGGTGGTCCCCTTTGACACCGCGCGTTCAACCACGAAATAAAGCACTAAACAAGAACGTGGCGGAATTATTGACCGTACTGAGTGGCCGATCATCGGCCACGAGTGCACAGTTAACGCGGCCAATAATTATCCACCCGGTATCCACGTAAGACGACCGTCCATTGTGCGCGGCCGCCTCCACTGTTTTCAATACGATTGTCCTCCGAGCCGCCTTATTGTTGAAAGTTTCCATTGTCATTATTATTTCGTCGCATTATGCGCGGAGATTTATGGGCTCGTGTAATTTCGTTCGGGACCGCCTTGATCCTCGGATTACTGAGAACGTGAATCTCCCTCTCAGACTCTTTGATGTACGATGCAATTTCGCGTCGTACATCTCGATGGAAATACGAGATTATTTCGATACTGCAGAAGTCAGAATGATATGGATATCGATACTGCAGGTTTTTAGGACTTAGGTCTTTCGTTGATAAAATAAAAAACTTACACAAAAATACGTAACCGCAAAAATTTTATCGAGACAAAAAAGCTTCTTTTTCTTTTATAACAGTTTCAGTAGAAAAAGCTACCATATGATCAGACATAATAATGGAAATGCAAGAAGGATATTCGTTACAGAGTCCGACATTAATTAATTATAATTTTAATAGTAATATAATGTAATCATAATAATAGTAATAATTAAGACTAATGAATAAATAATGAATATAAATGAGTAAAAATGTTTAATATAATTGTATAATAATAATGACAGTAATAATTAAAATTATTAGATTATGATATAATCAGCAGAACGGTATCGGATATTTCCATTCGACTCGATATTAAGGAGATGAAAGCTTGAATTCGGTTCGATATATAATATATATATATGTTACATATTTTACCCGTACATTATTATTAACATCATAAAGCAGAAAGTCTTGAAATTATAAAGTCGCTATCTTCATCAGTCGTATCTCTCGTCCTCCTCTCATTCCCGCACGTCTTTCCAGCACTTCCACTCCCTGCGTTTTCCTGACTTTTCTCGTTCTTTCGCAACTGGCATTCTGCCTGGCAGCGAAGTAGAGACCCCGAGGTAGAAATGGTTCAAGTGGATCTCGGCTACATCCCCTCTAGTTCTACGTTCCTCCGATCCATGACCTCGCGAGCCGCAACCCCCACAACAGTGCCACCACCATCACCACTACCACCACCACCAGTCCGCTATCACCGTCCGTGTCTTTCGAGAGTCGAAAACGCCCGGTGCTCGCTTGACTCTCGAAACGGCGACGAGAGTGGAAACCCGAAGAAGGTTTTTCACCGTACTGAAAAACTAAAGGCGTGCTACGTTAATAACGAGGCGGAAAGTATTGGTACGAGTGCCAGGCCCTCCTCCGTGTTTGCCCACCGTAACATAGTACGTTCTCTTAGCTGACGAATCTACAGAAAGTCTTGCCTCTACCGAAGCGATTCGGATTTAATGCAGGCAGATTTTTTGACGAACTCTGAAATTAAGTCGCTTTTTTTCGCAAGAAAGAAAATTGAGGAAGTTCATTACTTGGTACACATTAAAAATCAAGTATTTTATGACTAATGCTCGAAAATTTTACTAAAAAATAATATTTTATTTCTTTGCACATTCATGCAATGGGTAAATATCTTTTTCTAATTGCATATATCTTTCTCAAAGACCGACGCCAGAGGTTGACGAATTATATTTACTTCGCAGTAGACTTTATTCCAAGACGTTGACTTCAGCCGAATCTTTCAAAATACCCAGCAGCCGTCGACGACGAGCCCAACGAATTCCTTCCACCGTTCTCGCGCGAACGCAAATTTGCAATTCTCGTAGACGATACGGTGGAGAGATCGCCGGAGGGTCGCTTCAATTTCGCGAAGTTGGCTGACTGTTCGCGTAAGATTTGCATCGCAACTCTCGAGACTGCTAGCATCGCTTTCCTGACCCTCGTTTTAATTCTTGAATGCCATTCGGATGTCCGATCCCCTATTCTAACCGTGCCGACGGAAATCTTGAAAAGACGCATTCGCGCAATTTAAACATATTGATTAATGATGCCACGTGTTTAATGTTACTTCCAAATGTCATTGTCAATTATTACACGGAAAGAAAGGTTAAAGTATCTAAAAATTTAATTAAAGGCAGATTCAAAATATTTTTATTTGATTATCAAAATAATCATGTAAGCAACTCAAGCTCGCTAAAATTAAAATTTCTTGCAACATTGCTTATCATGTTTGAGTTTTCTACATTATCGATACTTCAACAAAAGCATTTTCAAATTTATAGTTAAATTTTTAGATATTTTAAAATCATTCTTTCCATGTAGCAATTTCTTATTAATTACTCGACTGTAATAGATACCTATGTATTTTTCATTTATTTTAATTTTTTTATCTTGTTAATTTGTCTTAGTTGGATGTAGTAATCAGCGAAAACGCGTGTTCTAGAAATGAATCAAGTGAAATATTAAATATTTTAACCACTAATTTATAACTAATCGTAATGTTAGCCATCTACAATATAATATATATAAAAATATATACTATATATAATATATATTTTTTTCTGTTTTTACGATATGAACACTGAAATTACTTCACGATGCAGTATTTGGGTTTGATTTCCAGAGTATCGGTGGAACGCACATTCGTTATTTATTGCATTTCATGTTAATTCTCTGTACCAATTACACATTGCAAATACCTTTGATATTCGAAGCGGAAAATTACTAAAGAGTAAGCTTTTCACGCAAAACCAACATCATCGGTTGATGTCAACATACCGACGAATGAGGATAACAATTTGTTAATGAAACAGCGTTACAACAAAGTCGTTAGTTGTTGTTTAATTGCGTAATTGTTTAATTGCTACTAATATTACACTTCATAAATTGTTTCCTGCTATCAGAGAAGTGTACTTTATTCGAGTGACGCAATCTCAGGGCTGTTATGAAGTTATTGCAATTATTACGTCGAACAACATGATGTAAATCGAAAACGAGGATTCGCGTGATGTTTTTTTCTTTTGCGAATATAGAAATAATATTATCTTAACTCTTTATGAATTGACGACTCCATTTGAGGTCATCTTCTTTTTATTTTGTGAAGTTCTCGTTCGACTTTTATGGAACTTGATTTATAATCAAAGTAATTTAATAATGGTTTATTTGAATCTGCGCAAAAATAAAAAATTGAAAATGAATGATCAATATATAGTAGACGGAAATACAAGAAATAATGAATCCAATATGGTAGACAGAAATAGAAGAAATTCGAGAAATAGAAGAAATAATATTATCATAAAACTCAGTTTTAATTGTGAAATAACATAATTTTTAATTGCGAAATAAAATGAAGTTTCCAATTTCAACTTTATTTGAAATTCAGTGCCACGCAAACAATATTGATTTACAAATCTCTGATTATGAGTCATGTGTCTTTAGATCCTCCTTCATTGGAAATTACTACCCTTTTGAAATTCATGCTATATTCAAACTCAGCGATATGGAAAATCTAAAATTGAATTTTACTAAATCTATCTAATTATATAAAATAAAATTTCGAGGCGATAAGTGAATTCAAAGAAAATTTTAAAAATCCTTAGAAAAAAGATTTTTCAATTTGTTTGTTAGAAAGTTTCTATTCTCTTAAAAAATTAATACGTATAAAAAATTTATTAGATTTATTGCTAAAGTAATATTATATATATATATATAAAACATAATTTTAATCTTGAATCATCATATCTTTTTCTTAATTGTATAGTACTTAGGATTCTATAGTAAAGTATATCTTCATGTGCTCGAAAAGATAAATTATCAAATATATGCGTGTATTACTTGC